AGAGCAAAGATTGAGACCACTTTACTCTTCAGAGGTTATTTCCGAAACTATATATTCTAAAACTTAAAACTGAAATACTTCTATCTAAAAGCGTCATATACAGGCAAATTTATTACACATTTCTTAGGGCTTGATCCAAAAAGAATGTTCTCCCTATGGCTGCTAGCCCATAAGAAAGTTCTAAAAAGCCTCTGGGGCTCAACAGCTGCAAAAGAGATTTGCATATTGAGAGCTAGGTGAGGCTGGTTGCAAGATTTTTGGCAACACCTTCTTTAATTAGGAAAAGAAAAAAAAAGATGGTGATTTCACTCAGGTCTTCTTTGGAAATGGTTCCCAGAATAAAATTTCTGGTGAAAATAGAAGGGGAAAACCAATTCCAGAGCCGCAAGGCTGGGGCTGGGGATTCATGTATCTATGCCTCATTCAGGTTAAGGATCTTATCACTAGATGAATTCTCTGACAAGGTTATCATGGGTTACTGTAGAGGAAAGAAGACGAGAAACAGTGGGGAGGAATGAAAGCCTGAGAGATAGTTTCTTAATCTGTCTAAAAGTGTGTCACCCCATATAAATAACATAATATTCATCAGCACACAGGCTCAAACCTGAGTCATCTGCATTCCACATTCAGCTCTGACTGACATTATAGAGTCTGCAAAATTTATATGAAAATATTCCTTGGATGAGCTAAAGTAAAGTAAATTCTATCAGGAAAAAAAAAACCTAGCAGGTACCACTTGCTAGGAAACATAGCTTTAATAACCGCTAAACTCAGCTGCTTGGTTAAAAGCAAAAATCTGAACACACTTGTCTTCATTTCTATGAATGAGGTTCATAATTGTCTATGTCAGGATGGTTAGGTTTCCTTCGCACCTTCTGAAAAGTTCTCCTCTGTATTCCCCAATGAAGGACAAGAAGAGCCCTGAAATTTTGAACGGACCTGTACATGAAGAGACTATTATCCTCCTAGCTCCGTCCAGAATACAAAAGATGAAGGACCATGAAGCACTAGTAGGAACTGTTATATACTCCCTGGGGTTTCCAGTTCTCTTGATTCCTCAAATCTTATTCAACTGTCTTTCCCATCTTACTGTCATATCAAGATAACATTTTAGTCTGTCGGTAGTGCTATTTCTTACTCTCATTTTAGCGTCTTAAAAAGACTATGTTCAAAGATTTGAGCAACATAGCAACAAACAGCAACTCCTGGAAACAGGAGTGTTAACACTGGTGAGTAAATAAACAAAGTCTGCCAAGCAGCAACCTCACACCAATGGCAGGTAGCAAGTAACCTTATTAATGTCAAATAGTTGTGGCCAGCAGGCAGTAAGTAAGGGAAAGAAAAATAAAGCAGAGCAAAACCTAGAAAATCCTCTACTAGAAGAACTGGCTAGTGAGAATTCTATCACTGGAGACCAAATTGTTATGGCTGATGTCTTTCTCATTAGCTTACTAGTAGTTCTAGATGTTTTTACTCAGCCTCGTAATTTTCTTTTGCCTAACCAATGAAGTTACTGAAAGATCACTCCCTCTGTCTTCAATACATATCCTCCCACACTTTTGTAGGTATTTTGAGACACACATGTTAAGGAAGGCTCATTTTTCAGATTTTCTTAAGCTGTATAAAAAACCTATGGGACTTGCAAGGAGCAAATAATACACTGAAACTGCCACACTAGGTCTCCTCCAGCAGCCTGCCTTCAGCAGTAGCCCTGAGCAGATGCCCAGTAGAATAGTAAGAAACACGGCAGGCCTAAAGTACCTGCGTTTGTTTTTCTTGACTGTTAGTGTCCAAGGCTCCAAGTATTTTCAGTTTTAAAACATTAATCCAGGTGTGCTTCTATCTGTTTAGTCACCCTCAATGGATCCATGGACATGTCCATCCTCTCTTTGAAACCATGAAAACTTTTAATAGTTAGCACCATGTTAGCATAACATAAACTTGTAGATTCCAGGAATTTAATGACTGATGTGGACAAGAGCAGTGTTCAAACTCTTCTCCTCTCTCAGTTCAGTTCAGTTCAGCTCATCTACCTGTCTGGAACTTACTCAACAATCCCTGCAGAGAAGTGACCTTTACAACCCAGCTCTCAGAAAAGCAAGCTTCATTCTTTAGAAATGTACCAGATGAAAGTTCTTGAAAAATAAAACTTAGAGGAGGACATCCCTGGATCTTGCTACAAAAGCTACATACCACTTTCACCACAAGCTACACCATCTTAATACTGTATTATGTTATCAAAGTATCCAGTGTATTTTTAGGAACATATTGTAAAGAATTCCAGCAAGTGCTCTTAATGTTCTTTTGTTTGGCAAGTGACATTACCCTCCCACAATGGCTAAGACAGCAAATTACCAGACACCCTAAAGAATGCAACAGTCTAGCCAAACCTAGAAAAACCCACTTTTAACACCAGCAGGCTCGCCAACTACCACTCAGTTTCCAACATCCTCTTCCTTGGCAATGTCTTTGTGAAGGTAGTGGCATCCAAAAGCTAACAGCACCTATCCCTTGCCAACGCCCTGGCTCCCTGACGTACAGGCATCAGACCAAAACATGATAGAAGAACAAACACTCCTGGCACTGCCAGTCCACACGCTCCTGGCCTGGGACCGAAAACAAACCTCAGAGTGGATATCCTCTGGGGCTCTGACAGAAGTGACTGCCTGGTTCTAATAATAAGACTCATGTGACATTTAGTAAGCAAGAACAGGACAGCAGTCCTTTTCCCAGACAAGCTGAACAGAGTGCAACTCCCTCTCCTGCACAGCCCCAGAAGTCCTGTATTCCGCAGTCCCACAAGCCTCAATGTTTTTCCTTCCTGCCAGTTTAACACCAAGACCGTAACACACAGGGAAGCTGAACAATGCTAGAAGTTCATGTATACTCAGACAGACAGATGACTTTCAATTATGCCTCTGTCTCTGCTTAAATGAAGGGTTTCAAGGGAAGCAAGGCACAGCTTCCACTTTCTGCCCCCACTTGGCAGCAGATGAAGGAGTAATACTACCAGCAGTGACTCCAAAGCATGAGAAAGTGTTATGTTCAAATTTCAAGCAGAAAGCTTCAAGGTGAAACCAGCAACAGACTTCTCTGCCCTTTATCTCCCTCTGTCTTTTGGAACTCTGGAGATTGTCAAACACCGAGGCATCTGGTCTTGCCCCACAAGGCTGCCAAAAGAAAGCTTATATAGCTTGTCTGCTGCCCTCCCCAGTGCCCAGCTGTTGGCAGCAAGGTTACTCCTTGCTGGAGAAGCCTGGCATTGAGACTGAGGGCTGGTGAGACTGGACCACTACAGAATGTGATCCGCACTAGTGAAGTATGTGCTTCTACCTTCCTACTCCAAATGCTAAATGGTACTCTAAAAGCAGAATTTTAAAACATGTTGAAGGTGAGTTTCCAGACTCTGCCTTCAGCTTCCCAAACCCAGAGGCTACAAGTGATCCTTCAAAATGATGAGGGGTAATGCATTTGGCTTTTCTTCCACTCACAAACAGAGATATTCTAAAACAAAAACAAACGCTCTACAGATAAATGCTCCATGTTTTACAAAATTGTGATTATCTGTGAGGAAATTTTTCAGGCTTATTTTAGGTGTAAATTTGCTGGTTTGGGTTTTTAAACCACCACCCTACATAATTTATGTCACGTATTTAACGGAGAAATAAATGCTTACTCATAACATCCCACACAGTCTGGAGAGAAACAGCATCAAAGTCTCCAGCCAAAAGTGATTTCAAGCCTCCATCATCCCTCACAAAAAAAAAAAAAAACACTAAAAAATCACTTGAAAAAGAGCTTACCACCTCTTTAAATTGTTGTGCCCTCACATCTCTAAAACAAATCTGCAATCTTCCAGTATATGTCTCTGGTTTTTATATTATAGGAATATGGCTTTTTGTATAACAATCTATAATGGTTCTCCCACTTTCGGGTATTCACATGCAACACATATGACATATTCCACCACATATAGAGAATATTTTGATGGTATGCATAGTACAAAACTCTACAGCCACTACGCAGGGTGTCTTCCCTAATGTTTGTCCAGATTGAGAAAACATTCACGTGTATGTAACAGCCCAGCATCACACAATTACTTGTTGGTTAGAGTGTGGTTTATATGGCATTTAGAAAAAGAGCAAACTGAGTTAGGTGCAGCTTATTTCAGATAGACACTTCTTCTGAGAGCCGAAAAGAGAAGATACAGCATGACAGTAGTGGCAGGAGTCACTCCTTGCTCATTAACAAGTAATAGTATGTCTGTCACACTTGTTTGTCTTAGCTCAACAAAAATCATAAAACACCAAAGATTTACAAGATTTACTAGCACAGCCTAGTTGATTACAAGGATAACTCCAAGAAAATACAAAGAAACTTCGGTCTAACCAGTGTGGAATGGCAAAGTCTGGGTTTAATTTTCTCTTGAATTTTTATTTTCAGAGAATCCTTGCAAGGATTCTTTACACTAACATGTCTCTCAAAAAAATTCCAAATGTCACTGCATACTCATTAACAACATGTTCAAAAACTGCTCTGAGCCAATACATAAAATGTAAAAAATGAACATACTTGCATTTTACTATACACATATAAAACAAAAGTAAAGAAGCTGGCAGCTCAGGTCACAGACTTTAGAGGTAGGTCAATTATGTTACGTCTGAAATAGAAGAATAATTGTAGCATTTGACAACTTATAAAAGTAAATTTATTTGGGATCTTGCCTCCTTATTCCTCTGCCCACTCCCACTTAAGAAAGTCTAAAAATCATGAACTGAAAGAAAAATTCCTTAGATTAAATGAATGTTGATGAAACTTCAATTGAGGCATTGCCTCAGCTAGCTCAAAAAAGAGCTAAAATACTCACAGCTTGTCCTGATTATATGTACTTAACCAGTGCAAAATAGGTTGCGGACGAATTATGCTCTCTTTAACTATTAACAACAGTGTCTTTGTTCTCAAACAATGTTAGATGCACATGTTCTGGAACTTATATTTACCTGGTGGATTCTTGGCAGGATCATTGTGGCTTGGACTTCCTGGTTGTCCAGAATCTATAAAGAAATGAAAGAAATGTTTTACTAATTTGTTTTGAAAGTATCTCACAACCTTTTAATACCCTCCTTCAGTATTAAACCAATACTTAACTTTGTTCTTTAAAGGTCATTTCCCTGACTTTCTACATTAAGGCATTATTGAGCAAACACACTGTATGTAACCCATTTTATGCAGCAGCAGAAACATTGTGAAAGATGCAATGATCCTAACAAGAGGAACTCATAGATGACTGAATAAGGACAAGAGAGTCATTCAGGTAAATACTCAAGTTGTAAACACATCTACAATGGTACCTTTTCATTCCCTTTCCCTCCATCCCCCAAATATAATATTGCATAATCAGCAAAGCAGAGGTAGTTTCTTCTCAGGCAGTGACCAGAAAGACGTACTGGATCAAGCAACTAATGGTGTTTGCATGGATGACTCCTGTTTCTTTACCCTCTCCTTAGAGCACAAAGGCCTACGCTGCTTCCATAGACTCGGGACTGCACTGAAGATATGACTGTCCGTTTTAATACAATACAGGCTTTGCGTTCCTAGTCTGAGAGAACTGCTGTTGTGAAATGAAGATTATGTAACACAAAAACTAACAAAACCCAAACCCTGTAGACTTCAAAGAGTGTTCTTTACATGATACATGCACCTAATGAATCAAGAAGAGAGCGCAATTTGAACACACTAAATAATAAATTATGTCCATATTCATAAAAGCAGTTGCATTTAAAACTATCTACTTTTTGCTGTATTGCCACACCAATAATATAACAAAACCCTGCTCCTTGTTCCACTGCAATAAATTGTTTCTAAAAAAGTGAGACATGACAGACACTCTTGTATGCAAAGAGTAAGAAATTAAATGAAGCACAACCATTTGTTCCGTACATTGGTAACTAAAATGGGGTAGTTTTACAGTCTGAATGAAAAATATCCATTTTTTCTAAATGTAGCCATGCTTGTTAGCAGCATAGGACCACCAAAATATTGCATCATAGCACTAGAGAAGTGGCTACTGCCGAATGGATCCCAGAGGGAGTTCTTGAATGCACTGCTGCTTACAGTGTCCAAATTAAAGGAAAAAACATAGAATAAGAGCAAACTACATATTAACAAATACTTGCCCTTCAATCCTCATTACTACTCCTTAAAGCCAACGTAGCCCTCAACCTAGAATGAAAGGTTCTTTCCACCTGTTACAAGAAGTTAATGAAAATCTGTTACCAACTGTTACATAGCTTAGCAAACACAGTTTGACACACGTCTCTCCAGCAGTTTAAGTTGACACAAGCTTGATTCTACAAAAGATATTATTTGAGATGGAAATTCATTTCACAGTTCAAGTTCTACTGAATTCATCTGAATGATGGTTGACAGAGAGGACAAGTATCTGTGGATCTACCAGAGTACTGGTAGACCCAGGCACATGTGAAACCCAGTTCCAATGGTTTTGCAGACACAACTAAATTTTCCAATACTGAATGAAATCACTCTTACACACAATAAAATACACATTGGATAGCGAATTTCACATGAAATTTCCTCTGTCTTCTTCAGTGCTTGGTAGGAAGACTGAAGGGCAAGCCGTCAGCCCAGATTCTGCATATCCCATGGTTTGGGCACTTGGATAGCCTTAAGAGTCCCACTGTACAGCACAACATGTAGCCATTCATTATGCTTGTTTCTTTTAATGATAAAATACAGCACATCCCTTTAAAAAATCAAACCAAGTTAATTTGAAAACTCAGTCAGCTACAAGAAATGATAAAAATGTGATGCTTCTCTGCATATGGACTTTTCTATGGACAAATGTCCTTCTTCCTGTGTTGCAATAGGAAGGTTCACCCTGCAGGGGGTGAACTTTAATATTCTTCTAATAGGTATTCTCTTCTTCTGCAAACCATATATATTATTATTTAAATCAAGATTATCAGAGAGGATTAATTTTACACTGCAACGGTCCAACTGTAAAACTGCTGCAGATACGTGGCTAAATGAAGTGTCAGTTTGGTAGCAGATGCACCCAATAAAGCTTGTAGAGTGTAGCTTGGGGAACACAGAGATGTGAAACTGGATTAATGTGGCCTACCAGAAAGTAGCCTTTGAAGTTTTGTCCTGTTAAAATTCACTAAAAAGATGCCTAAAGTGAAGAATATTTTCTAGCTCTTGCACAGCAACTTGCCTTTACTCCTACTTTCTGATTGTCAACACAGCCACGTTATGGATCCAGGACATAAAGACTGATGCTAGTTTGAACAAATCATTTTCATATTGCAATAGGATAAAATTAGAAAAGAATCTTTTAGTTATAGTGATAAGCAGTTGGCTAGTTGCTATAATTTGCCGCCAGACTTAGCTTTGTTTTATGTTAACTACTTATCAATTGCAATTTTTACAGATTGATTCTCACACAGCGGTTTGAGCAGTAGAAGCTACGAACATGTTTGCCAGCAGAGTCTCAATGATCTTGAGAAAGCAAAGAATTATTGTAAGCCGAATATGAGAAGCAACTTATCTAATCCTTCACCTACAGCAGTTGAGACAGAATTGTGTTCTGTACGAGAGTATCAACCTACAGAACTCTGCACTTCAAGCACACAGAAGCACCTCATTCTCAGGATGAGCGAGACAGACCTGAGACGGCCTGTGCCAATCCAATTCTCTTACCAGTGTCAGTAATCATAAAGCACTCTCCTGATTTGACTGGATGCAAATAGCCTTGCAAAGTACAAGCGAACCATGATCATTATAGGAATAAACTCTATGAATAACTTGATCTGTAAGCAGAACATGGAATGAAAAGAGATACTGGAGCAACGCCCTTCTAAAAGAGGGAGTAAGAGGCATTTTTGGAAAGCCACAGAAACTACAGAAGCAAAAGATATGTTAAGACAATTTAAATCTTTCTTTATACTCATCTGCACAACATCATTAATTAACAATATGAGCCCTGCATTTAAAAATTGCAGGCTTTTCTTCGAGTGAGATGGAGCAAGACACAAACCAGACTCATTGTCTGTCTACCTGGCTTTGGATTCAATTTTCCCACCAAATAATTCTGAGCACATTAAAAAAAAGAAAAAAATTCCTAAGCTAGAAGTTGCAAGCAAAGCTATACAACCAGTAGCAAATAAAACCCTCTCATGCAAATGTGATGAAACTGAAATTTTCAATATTGTGATTTAGGTAGCTCCCAATTGCAAATTCCCTTAGTTTATACCTCTTTTTTTTTTTTTTTGGGGGGGGGTTCTGTTTGTTTCAAAAACCTCAAATTTTACTATCAATGTGCTTTTCTTGAGAAACTTCTTCCACACAGATCTGAGAGGTACTTATCAGTATTTGTTACAGAGCGAAAGCTCACCTACACATACCCTTTCCATGAAATGGCTTTCACATGCACCTCACAACTACACTGAGCATATCTCCAGCTTTTCTTTTCTTGGTGCTGACTCCTCCAACAGTCAGTGGCCGATGCCTTGATAAGTTATTGCCCCACAGGTGAACAGTTTATACAAGCATGGTTCAAGCCAGCCTTTACTCTCTTCTGGTAGATATTCAGGTAACTGTGGTACACTTATGTATAATTTACCATGATTTGGCATGGCTACCACCAGAACATTGAAACTCTGTATCAATTTACTCTTTCTTTTAGAAGATGGTATGAAAGGATGAGTCAAGAAGCTGGTATGTTTTCTATTGAATTGTTTGCCATGCTTTCATTTCTAGGGGTCAATCTCAATGAGTCCCTGTGAGTGCAGGCAACTCACTGCAGCCAGAGTTAAGTAAAACTGACTGTCGGGGCCTGCTGCTAGGAAAAAGGTGCAGCCATGATACGTCGCTCTTGGCTTCAGAAGGCAGAGGGGAAAAAAAGCAGCTAATGGTTTGCCATCCAGTGAGGGACAAGATGCTCCCTCCCTTTGCACCACCTTGCCTTCAACCAGCTGCAGGAGGAAGGACTCACACCCCAGAAAAGCCAAGAAAGTCACACTGCTGTTCATCAGCTTCCTGAGGGATTTTTAGGATTGCTCACCACAGCAGCCTAATCTTTCTTTTTCCAGCTGATGACACAGGATACTGTCTCTAAAAAGTAAATTATGCTACATCTCCTTTACACCCCATATTGTACAAGGAAATTTAATTTTAAAGCTCTCTGCTTTAGCATAACATTGAAGGTTGGCAATGAATAGATGAAGAATCCGTAAGAAGAAAAAATACTTTCTTGAGCCACGTCTTAGAAATAAGCAGATTCTCCACAGGTGTCATACTAATCAAATAAACTTCCTTAGTGTTTTCAATGAACACATTTCACTTTTCATTTGCCACAGGCTAGGAGACAGCCTTTGCACTCTGATAATCTCAGCCGACAGACATTAATTTAATCATTCACCAGCATATAAATACACCCTTGTTCTTTGATAGTCCATGATTTGGGTATGGGGGAGGATAAAGGACCAGTAAGATGTGGCACCGTGTAAATATCAGTTTGATGCTGTCCAAGCCTTCACACATGTATACGGCTTCTGACATGACAACTGACAGAGTCACTGCCATGAACAAGAATCACAACTGCCTCCCAAACTGTCATCCCTCAGGATTACACTGCCACCTGCAAACTTGAGGCAAAAGGTTGTACTCCAGAAAACCATAGGACACCCCAGTCTGGTGAGGACCTGTGGGGGTCTCCAGCACCAGCCCCTGCCCAGGGAAGGCTCAGCAGTGGGATCAAACTCAGCTGCTCAGGGCTTTACAAAGTCAGGGCATGAAACCCCTCAAGGGTGGAGACGGCCCAGCCTCCCTGGGCCACAGCTCCACTGCTGGGCTGTCCTCATGGGGAAAACACCTGCCAAATCAACTCTTCATCTTTCAAAGACTTTCAGAACATCACCATGGTAGGAAAGCATTCATGGCAACAGAGGAGCAAGATATCTCCCTCTCCTCCAAAGCAAATAACTTGATCAGCAAAAATCCACAAAGTGAATAGATAAACAGTTTCATCTGTGTA